AGTGTATCGATCTGATGCAGATCGATACGCAGACGACAATCGTTTCAACGATTCTCGAGATGGTTGGGAGAGATGTGACAACAACTTCACTATCTCACCATCTTGGGCGTATGCCCGCCTCACATCATCATACAACGTTGTAGATGGAACTGAGGACGTCATAACCGCAACAGTGACTGTCTCACTGTTGGGTTTCGCGACTGTTTCAAAGTCGGGACGACGTGAGAGTGCATCAGCGACGACATTAAGTCGTCCTGGTTTGTACTCGACCGTAAAGTTGTATTCTGCAAAGAATGACAACCACCGCGCCATTCGTTGTGAAAGGTGCGGGCTGTTCACTGCCGTGCGTAAGGACGCATGGTCAGTGTAAACAACGAAGGGTCTATCTCCTAATAGATAGACTCTGAACTTCGCGAGTACATACTTCATGGCAAGGAGTTCCTTGTCATGCACTGGATAGTTCCGCTCAGCTGGTTGCAGCTGACGCGACTGATAGCAGACGACGCGTTCAACGCCTTCAAGATCGTACTGGATTAATGCACAGCCGATTGCGAAATCGCTGGCATCACAGACCACATGAAATGGCCTGTCCTGATCGGCTATTGCTAGGACTGGGGATTGTATCAAGCTCTGCTTGATACCCTCAAAGGAGCGTTGACATTCAGCGTTCCATAACCACCTCTCGTTCTTTTTCAACAAACGAGAGAGGTGTACAGTCATCTCGGCGTAATTGCGTGAATACTTATGCAAATACGCCGCTAGCCCAAGGAATTTTCGAAGACCTTTGACATCGACCGGCACGGGCCAGTCGGTGATCGCCTTGATCTTTTCGGGATCAGGACGTACACCGTTCTTACCAACGATGCACCCAAGAAGTGGTATTTCGCTTGCTGCAAATATACACTTCTTGAGGTTTGCATACAATTGATGCTTTCGCATGATTGTAAGAACTTGTCGGACGTGGTACTTGTGAACCTCAACGTCCGACTTTCCATCCATAGCTCGACTATGGATGAATACGTCATCGAAATAACTCTGCGCGAATTCTCGTACTGGCCTCAACAGATGTGATACACACCTGTTGAACGTGGCAGGGGCATTACTGAGCCCTTGTGGCATTACTAGCCATTCCCAGAGCATGCCGCTAGGCGTGCTAACTGCGGTATAGGGTATATCCCGTTCCCGCATTAGGATTTGATAGAAGCCATCCATCAAATCCATGGACGAAAAGATGGTACTCTTTGACATACCATCAATGATTACGTCCTTCCTCGGTATCGGCGTCTGAGCCGGTACCGTTGCAGGGTTTAATTTGTTAAACGCGTGCACTATCCGCCACCCTCCAGTTGCTTTTCGCACACAGAAGGTCGGAGAGCTATGTGTGGAAGCTGATTCCCTCACATGCCCCGCAGCTAAACGATCGGCAAAGAACTTGTCGATCGCAAGTACTTGTTCACGAGGCAGTGGCCACTGCTTCATGACACAGTACTTCGAGCCTGGTTTAAGCTCGACTTCGTGTCGAATACCTTTATCCTTCGGTAATTCGCACGGAACAGTTTCAGGGAATACATCCTTGAATTCAACCAAATCTTCATAGAGAGGATTTGTCTTGAGCGATTCCCATGATTGGGACTCATATCGCTCAATTCGTGTCTTTTCATCTAGGACACTCTCGTCCATAGATGAACTACTGAGAACTCTCTCGTTCTCAGTAAACACTGTTGCTGACCTTATGTCGGTTACATACTCGTCTTCAGCGACGAGTATGCAGATCTGCTTGACTTTGCCACTACGCAGATCACGCAAGAATCTTTTATGTTCGAGCGTTGGCAACTGAGTGATCTCCGAAGTTAACTTCGGAGGCGCAATCAGATCAAGTGTATAAGCGCCTACACATGATCCGTTATTGACTATGACATTCAATGTCTCTGTCATTTCCTGGGGACTTATTCCCTCAGGCTTCGAAGGACTTATTCCTTCGTCTTCCCGGGGACTTATTCCCGCGGGTTTCGGGGAACTTATTTCCGCCGTATTTGTAATCTTGGGACTTATTCCCTTTACTTCCTCTAGCTGGGGTTGCGCAACCACAGCGAGATCCTCTACGAAAGACTCTCCAGTCGATCTAGGATTATCGTTTCGCTTAACCTGAGCGATCGATTGTTTCTCTTCTAGATGTTCCCCTCTAGGGATACATCTTTGTCCCAGTCCACCCGACTTATTCGAGTGGTGGACCTTCGGCGCAGCCTGTGTTTCCTCACAGCCGCCGGAACTTTGCTCCGAAGTGTAACCGTTTGGTACACTAAGGTTTTGTGCAGTCGTACTAACGACCGTACCACAAGTGAGGCCATCGCACTCACTCGTAGTACATCCACACGCTTGTGGACGCTCCAAAACGTTCATCAGATGGCCATCTGATGAACAAGCGGCAGGCATCGTTACTGTCCGATGTTGCCAGTTTACCCGTGGTTCGTACCTTCTGAGCCACGGTATTCCAAGGATGACATCAAATTTGTCATCCAAATCCAATACGATAAAGTCATCGTCATATTGGGTATCTTCTAGCGTATAGTGAATCTTCACTATACGCTTCATGACGGTTACGGATGCGCCTGTCGCAAGACGTACCGTCATCCTCGTAGGAGGTGTGTCACATTCACTGAATTTAAAGTGACCATCTTCTAGCGATTGGCGTCGCACAAAATTGTTGGACGCCCCACAATCGACTAGAGCTCGAAGGGACAACTTATTCGTCACTTCGAGTTTCAAGGTAATGAGTGAGATCTCATTACCTAGAGCAGCAACGCACAATGTCTGTGTGTTGGGAGCAACCTTCATCAAGAGGCCTACAAATTCTCTTGACGTTGCTGGATCAGTAGGGTGCTCCGCACCTACTGATCCTGTCCGTTTTTTGACGGTCCATCCCGTTGTTGCGTCTTTGCACCAACTGCGGACCCTCGTCCCTGCCCCTTTCTCATGGGTGGACGGTCACTACGCCCATTGTCGCGAGACACTGGACGAGGGGCACTACACTCGTAAGCGTAGTGTCCTGTCTTTTGACATCTGTTGCATCTCTGCAACTTCTTGTAGCCTGTAGAGCGAGCCTTCTCGCTCTCTACATAACAGAGTTCCATCGGCTCTGGACCTCCGTTGTCATATCGTCTCGGTTGACGATATGATGTCGAGCTGGCGCGAGCCTGTCTCAGACTGAAGTCTTCCTGCTCCGCAATTGAAATGGCTTTTTCTAGTGAACCTAGTTCAAGCCGGAACAGGTGAGTCTTGACGGGACCATCCGCAAGACCCTGCATGAACACCGAAACCAACGTGTGTTCATCCACCGGATTGGAACTTATACAACTCGTGAGATGTCGTATATGTTGAGCGTAAGCGTGCACATCACGCTTACCCTGCTTGAGCTTCAAGAGTTCGGTTCGAGCTCTGAACTCAGCTCTAGGCGGTTCAAACGTTTGTCTGAGCCGCGACTTGAAGACTTCTAACGACACAAACGCATATGGGTCGTGCAGCTTGAGCCCCAGTGCCCAAGTCTTGGCACGTCCTGCCAGATTTGATTGGGCAAATGCAACTTGCATATCCCCGTCGTCGATGCGACGCGCCCTTATGGCGTCATCCAATTCGACGAACCATCTCAACAGGGAGTCCTCTTCGAATACCCTATACTTTGAGATGTCAATCTTCAAAGTCTCGGGCCGACACGAGTGCATCGACCCGCCAGCAGCAGCCTGCTGCTGTCTCAACAGTTCAAACTGTTGAACACCCTGTTCTCTCAACAACTCTGCTTGTTGAGAGCCTTGTTGGTGAAGCAAGGCTACTTTCTCACGTTCAGCGTCAAGTTCATTTTGAATGAACTTGGCGATAGTAGCATGTTGGGCATCTCTATTGAGAGCCTCTAGCATGACGCTAACAGCATGGATGCCCATGGTTGAACCCATCCGTTCAACCGCATCCCTTTCAACATCGCTCAAATGGGAGTATCCTTCACGCGTAGCGTGAAAGCTTTGGTCATCTTCATCATCCAACATATTCATGTTGGATGTGAACGCGGTCCTTGGACGGACTACGAAGTGCTACCAGGTGTAACGGGGCACCCTGAAGCTTGTACTGGTGACAGTACAAGCTACTTATTCTGATAACAGAATAAGGCGGTGCCTCGTAACTTCACGTACACTCGTACGTGCAGAGGAAGACGGTAAGAAGAAGCGAGTACTTGGTTAGAGTAAAAAGTAGAACTGTATTTATAATAGTTAATGTCTGCAATAAATCACTATTTATCTTCATCTAACTATGTCTAAATACAAATGTGTAAATCAGTTATCTGCTCACCACTCATTGCGTGCGTCTGTCGTGGCGCGTCTTCGTTGGTTGATATAATGGCCTATATCAACCAATTAGGGACTACTTGGAAGTGCTACAGAATATTGTCCTTATGACAATATTCTGAGAATATAACTCTTATAGTTATATTCTATTAACAATTTCTTATAAATTGTTATGTAACGATTCACCCCGTTACATGAACGACTCGTTCAAGTAAAGGTTAAAAGAGAACTGTATTTGAAGTAGTTAAGCTATCAATATAACTTTAATCTTTATTTAACTATATAAAACTACGTCGTCGTATGACGACAACCTGCTTACAACTCCTTGCGCGCGTCTAGCAGCGATTGGTGGCAATCTATGGTTGATATGTCTTATACCAACCAATCTTGGAGCAGCGCAAGAATGTTATCAAAGGAGAATATAATTCCTTCAATATTGTCTATCTCGGGTAATATTGGTGGAATTTTGTCATGCTAGACAATGTTCCTATCGACACCGTTTGGTGTCAATTTCATGTAACAGGCTACCCGTTACACCACCACCCCTTAAATATCAATCACGCGTTGATTGAATTTGAATCGACTGGGACAGGGCGACCACCGTTGGATCACTCTGGGAAAGAGAGCACTTGTTGGTCGAATTCCAATCATTTGCTAATCCAAAGCATGCTTACGAAAACCAAGCGAGTTGCTACTGCAGCAGCAAGAAAGGCAAGTGCCTCTGACACTTCAGCAGCAGGTGATTCGTCGCTTGTTTCTGTGAACAGTCCACGTGGTGAGTCTCCACGTGCGACAGGAACATCCGCTACGTCTGCAGCGGGTACCTCGGGTCGTAATCAAGACGAGTCTGAGATAGAGCTCATCTATTCCGGCGAGTCGGATGATGCATCCGACTCGAAGGCGACACCTCACGCCTCCGGATCACCCGGAGCGGACACTTCAAGAGCCAGGTTGTCTGGCTCTGGCATGCGTGATGGCATCATGCTCGAGGTCTTCGGACCGAGCGAATGTTCCGACGAATCCTCGCCTCACGCAAGTTCGTTCAACGAAGGGACGCGTGGTGATGGTGGTGATGCTCCTGAGCATGACCACGAGCGAAGTAACTCGAGGGATCGAGCTGCAACTGGTTTCAGTGCTCACGCTGACACCAATCAAGAGGCCAGGGACCGAAATGTCCTGCGCCACTCTCCTCAAGCGAAGTCTGCTTGGATGCAGTCATCCACAAAGTTATATCGAGTGGCCTGCATGACCACCAAACGGAATCGAATGTCGTTGTTCGAATGTAGGAGGATCTGTCCTTATAATTGTAGCACGGAAACTATCTGTGCTGAGGAAGAGTTCTTCATCGATGCGTTTTTCAAACATCGATGGTACAACAACAACCGTGGTCGAGCCGGTAAGGCTTAGGTGCAAGGATGGGATGTCTTCATCCATAACATCAAGTGCATTGGCCGTGAGGCCTGGCTCGGTAAACTTGATGCAGCTCGCATCAGAGTTGAGAAGCTTAACCCAGTCGGTGTACGGTACAAGTTGCACTGACTGTCAAAAGAGGCAGTATTAACATGTCTCTCGTGGGGTGATTCGTGTGTAGGTTGCCTGGACAACTCGAACCGTGCCCCTAGGGAGGCCTTAATCACTATTGATCCCTACTGAAAAGCACGCATCTCTTCCGAGATGGCCTACGGGATTGATCTTTGCAATCTCTGTGCTTGCTATTGGGGAGGTCGTTTTCCGACGGCCCTTCTTCAGACGCAGCGGGTAAGTCTCGTCGCCAGCGGACGAGGAAACTCGTCCGGACGCTATTCCCGTTGCGGTGGTTTAAGATACGCTCCACCAGAAAGCGCTGACAACCGCCAAAATCCACCAGAGGATGGGTGGTGACGGGAACACCTGTTCCGGCTCGAGGGCCGGATCATCTTAATGTTCAGGAGCTGAACCGTGTAACGGAACTGTAGCAAGATGACCTGGCTCTTGAACGGACTCGACGTTATGAGCTTCATGACCTTGTAAGGGGTAAATGCAAATTTCTAGCGCACGATCCTTCGAACTATCGTACCGCGTTTACGTTCGCGCAGCTTGAGAATGAACGTTCGACTCATTCTCTTCGTGAAGAGCTGACTGCAGATCGTTAGGATAACGCTCAACTGCGTGAGCAGGTCGCTTCGCTGGTCGACCAGACTGGTTCGTTGAAACGGGACCACTCGATAGTGGTCTCGACTCTCAATCGCGGACGTTTTCTTCGACTCTCGGAACGGTCTCGTACTGATAGTATTGACGGAGATAATCAGCGCAAAAGGATGGATGCGTACGCATCTTACGGGGCAATTCAATCGTGTATGCGTTGCCCATTCGGCTCAGCATACCAAATGGACCGATGTACCTGGGCATTAATTTACTACTGCCAACGTTAGTCACTGCATGTTTTTGGTAGATGTACTGTTGACAGTAAAACTAGGTCTCCTTCATCAAATGAAAGAACATTTGCACTTCCATGTTTGTCTGCATTTCTCCTCTGTCTGTCAAGTACATCTGCAATAGAATGATGAGCGAAGCGGACAAGCGCTTCGCGAGTCAGCAGAAATTCCTCTGTTGATTCATCCTTGTTGTCAGCAGCGCTCTTCGTGTGCACTGCTGAAAAAATATTGTCTCGACCAGTGAGGGATTCATCATCTCACTGTGGCAGTCATTGGCGATGCTGAATATACCAGCATCGTTGTCATCATAATCATCGATGTCGATGCGATCGACATCGGCATCCATCACGTCAACACCATTGTCGACGTGTGATGAGCAAGAACCAGATCGGTTTTTGTTCGAGCGAGTCCACCTCCCCCCCTAAACTAGATTCACACTCTAAGAAGGCGGGTAAACGTTGATGGCGTAAGCCATTCACGGAGAACGGTGTATGCGAAGTAGACGCATGCACCGAGTTATTAATGGCGAATTCTGCCATCAACATGAACTCACTGCAATTCGTGAACGCGTGGATGTACCCTCGAAGTATCTCTATGAAGAAGGGGTTGGCGCGTTACGTTTGACCATCTGTTTCGGGATGGTCAGAAGTTGACATCGTCAAACGTGTTCCAAGTGAACGGAACACGGATTGCCAGAACTCCGCAGTGAAGTGGAAGTCTCGATGAGACACGAGTTCACGGGGCAAACCACGAAGTCGGAAGATAGTGTCGATGAAGACACGAGCACAACCCTGGGCTGGGATTGACTCCGGTACAGCGACAAGATGTACCATCATGCTGAACCGATCAACAAACACAAGAATACCAGTATTTTGTGAATATCTTTGGGAAACCGGAAGACTAAGTCCAACGATACGGACTGCCAACACTCTGCCGAAATTGATAAAAGCTGCAAGGGTGTGCTGGATGAAGGACTAGGCTTCACCCGTTGACAAACTTCGCAAGCGCGAATGTACTTGCGCACGAACCCATACAGGCGGGCCAGTAGAAGTCATGACTCACCGTGAGGTACGTCTTGTCTCTACCGCGATGTCCACTTGTTGGAGCATCGTGACGCTCATACATGATGCGCAATCGCAAATCATCACAAGCCTGAATGACGACACGAGGTGTGTCGCCGTTGACTGCTGTGTAGCACAGCAGTCCATCACGGACAGAATACCGTTCAGTTGAAAAGCAGTATGGAGACGAAAATCTTTTCAAAGCTTGACTGCATAGATTAGATACGTAATTTGTCAATCGCAAAAGAAACTCATCTTCTGCTTATGCTCTTCGCACGTCATCGAGCAGATTAGACGTCGGAACAGTTACTGTTAGTGTCGCGACATTGGAATCACCCCTACTGTTGAATCAAGCAGTAGGCTCGAAATCGTGCCAACGCGAAAGAGCACCAGCGACGACACTAAGTCGTCCTGGTTTATATTTGACGGAGAAATTGTACTCCGCGAAGATTGACAGCCACCTCGCCATTTGTTGCAAGAGGTGTGGAATGTTTACGGCCGTGCGCAACGACGCATGGTCAGTCTAAACGATGAAGGGCCGATCTCCTAATAAATTTACCTGAAACTTAGTCAGTGCATATTTCATGGCAAGGAGTTCCTTGTCATGCACCGGATAATTTTACTCAGCTGCTTGCAGCTGACACGATTAATAACAGACGACGCGGTCAACGCCTTCTGAGTCGTACTGCATTAGCGCACAGCCGATTGAAAAATCGCTGGCGCCACAGACCACAAGGAATGGTCTGTCTTGGTCCGCAATCGCCAACACAGGCGATTGTATCAATCCGTACTTGAAACCTTTAAAGGAGTGCTGACACTCAGCACTCCATAACCACCTCTTGTTTTCTATAACCGACGAGAGAGATGTACGGTCATCTCGGCGTAGTTTCGCGAGTACTTGTGCAAGTACGCCGCCAAGCCAAGGAACTTTCGAAGTCTCTTGACGTCGACTGGCACAGACCAGTCGCTAATCGCCTTGATCTTTTACGGATCAGGACGTACGTTGTGTGTGCTCACAATGCAGCCAAGAAGTGGTATCTCGTTCGCTGCAAATATACACTGTTTGAGGTTTGCGAACAACTTATGCTCTCGCATTAAAGTAAGAACCTTCCGGACGTGGATTCGATGTACCTTTACGGCCGTCCCTTTATACATAGCCCGGCTATGTACGAAGACATCGTCGAAGTTATTCGGTGCGAAATCGCGCACCGATCGCAACAGATTTGTAACACATCTGTTGAACGTTGCGGGGGCATTGCTTAGCCCTTGTGGCATCACTGGCCACTCACAGATCATAATACTGGGGGTGCTCACTGCTGTGTACGGGTTTTCCAGTTCACGCGTGAGGATCTGATAGAATCCATCCATCAGATCCATGGACGAAAAGATGATACTTTTTGTCATGCCATTAGAGATTAGGTCCTTTCTCGGTATCGGCGTCCGAGCTGGTATCGTTGCAGCGTAATATTTATTGAACGCGTGCACTATCCTCCACCCTCCTGTGGCATTTCGCACACAGAAGATCGGAGAGCGGAAAGGTTATGTTAATTTCCCCCACATGACCAGCCGCTAAGCGATCGGCAAGGATTTCGTCGATCGCTGTGACCTGTTCACGAGGCAATTGCCACTGCTTGATGACACAGTAATTCGAACAATGTTTCACTTCGATCTCATGCCGAGTGCCTTTGTCCTTGGAAAGCTCGCACGGCACGGATTCCGGGAAAACATCCCTGAATATGACCAAATCCTTTTACAAAGAATTTGTGTTTAAAGACTCCCAAGATTGAGACGTGTATCGCCTGATCCAAGTCTTCTCATCGAGGAGACTCTCTCATAAAGATGAGCTACTGAGAATTCGTTCATCTTCAGCAAATACTTGTGCCGACCGAATATCGGCGACGTACTCGTCCTCTGTGACAAGTACGCAGATCTGCTTGATCTTGTCACTACGCAGATCTCGCAAGAACCTTTTAGATTCTAGCGTTGGCAACTTGACTACCTCCGAAGCTGACTCCGGAGGTGTAACCACATCAAGTGCACAAGAGCCTACACATCACCCGTCATTCACCAAGACATTTAATGTCTTGGTGAATGACGGGTGATGTGTAGGCTCTTGTGCACTGCTTCTGTGAAAACACATTCTCAACATAACTCTTTCGTGAGATCTCTCTCTCAGGAACGCTGGAACTTTCTTCCAATACGTGTTCTGACTATGTGTGCACTACCATAGTCACGTCCTCTTCGATCGACTCTTTTTAGTCGATCAGGCTTGCTCTACGATCGACTCTCCGATAGTCGATCTCGCTTCAACGTGTTGTTCATCCTAAACAACACTGACCTCTCTTCTCGGATGCACCCTTTTGGTGTGCATCTGTGTTCCAGTCCACTCGATCTCTTCGAGTGGTGAACCTTCGGCGAAGTCTGTAATTCTACACAGGTGTCGGAAGGTGGTTCCACAGTGTAGTAGCCTTCTACACTGTGATCTTGTGCAATCGTACTAAAGATCGTACCACAAGTGAGGCCATCGCAATCACCCTTTGTACATCCATGGCTCGTATTTTCTAAGCGATGCAGACCGAGGATGACATCAAATTTGTCATCCAGATCCAGTACGATAAAGTCATCATCGTATTGTTTTCCTTCTAGCGTGTAGTGGATTCCCACTACACGTTTGTTCACTGTTACGGATGCGCCTGTAGCAAGGCACACCCCCTACCTTAAGCTGGAGGGAACTCTCGCTCGACATAGTTGAGTCTACTATCCTCTAGTGACTGGTGTCGAATTAATCTGTTCGATGCCCGAAGTCAACTAGGGCGCGAAGTGACATTCCACTTGTCACTTCGATCTTCAAAGTGATGAGGGACTCCGCATCACTAAGGGCAGTAACACACAGCGACTATTTGTTGGGACCAATCTTCGTCAAGAGTTCTGC